TTTTAATGGCAAATATGTTCAACCTAAAACTCCTCAAGTGGCATAATTGTAGCTTCATTTGTTTCAAATCTTGCAAAAAATATTTATAAAGCACCATTTACTATCCAATTGTTAATTGGTTAATTGAAACCAATTGAAGTTTAGGCAATAAAGTGTTTATTTTCTTATTTAAATAATAAATTTGTACTTATTTGCAAAGTTTAATGCATTTCTAATATTGTATGAAATTTTATTTAAGGGATTATGTAAAAAATCTGCAGAATGTGCCTATCTTTTATCCAGTTAATCATCTGAATAATTAATACAATAATCAATTACTAAAATAATTGATAGTTGCAGCCCGACTATTAATACAAAAATTGTGCTTATAAAAACATCTCTATAATTTACATCACTCCAAAGTGTTTCATCACGGCCCAGTAGGTGTCCTCCAGTTTTCCCGTCTTCTTGAACGAGACATTGCTGGTCAGGGTCTGCAGGGCCTCCTTTAGCTGCTCCAGGCCCACAAACAATTTCTGCACAAATAGAAAATGCAAAAACTGCACTGTGTTGATTTTTTTCAATATTTGATTCCAGCTTTATTTGATCACCATGAGCCCACCCACCTGCTGGTGAATGTTCTTGACCACAAACTGACAGAGCTCCAGGGTTTTGAGCAGCTTCTCTTTGGCCACCTTGCTCTCAGCTTGACCCACCTGACCCAGACTCTATAGACAGAACACAACAGAGAAGTTATATTACAAATCATGCTTGTCCTGCTAATTATGACCAACATGATTAGCAGAACCTACATTTCAAAGCTTGTCTTGAAATGTTCAAGACAAGCCTTTAAAGGGACCTTTCAAGCAAAATTCACAATTTGCCGTTTTTATACTTCTGTCTGGGTCCGTCTGTAAAACAAGACATTTCAAAAACCCCTGATTGTTAAGTCACAATCAATGGGCACTGCAGCGTTACCTAGTCCCATCACCTAGCAACCCAAGCAGAGCTGTGCTGTACAATGGTTTCTGGAAGAGACAAGTATTTTGTCTCTTCCAGTTATTCTAAAATAACACTTAAAAAAAAACATTTAAAGTACATTTACAAGGAAGAGACCAGACAAGAAGTAAATCTTATTGTATTTTAGCAAATAATCTATTTCCCAAGTAAGATTTTGTTGTTGTTGGTAAATGTAAATACTCAATTTTTCTTTAACAGACCTAAATGATGGTCTCACAGCTACAAAATGGCCAAATTGTCCTTCTCTGATTGTCATAAGTGATAATATTTCATTTGAAGCATTTGATATTGTGGATGGACATTTTAACTTAATTTGAACTCATTTCAGATTTGTCTCCATGTATTTGTCCTTTTTAAGTTTTCAACAAAAACTTAACAAGTTCATTATAATCATAATGACTATGATTAATTAATGATTATTAATCATAAAGATTATAATTTTTAAATCATAATCCTTACAAATATCAAAATAAGCTGTTTAAAACAAGCTTATCTTTGTACTTCTTGTCAAAACAGCAACTTAAAAACATTATCTGGAAATACAAGAAAAGGTTTTTTATCTTACTTTCAAAATAAATATGCAGGAAGCTCTCAGAAATCAAGGACAGTGAAGGCCGTTAAGGAGGACAGGATTGTTCTGTTCTTACGTTTATTTCAGGAGCAAAGGCACCAGAGGTGGAGCTGTTCTGGGACGATTTACAGGAGCATGTAATTACGCATGTCTTCACCCTCCACTCTCTGGAGGACGCAAGGAGGACAGCGAGAGGAGCAGCGCCTCCAATTATCATTTATCACTGCACCATGCAATCTCATAAAGGTTCCAGATTAATGTAATTAGAACGCAAACAGGCTTGAAGCTTGCATTTGAATGAACATTTCTGCTCAAAGTGGAACCGCGGTGCCTTGTGTGCATGAATAAGACTTTCAATCAGTTCCACTAGCAGAGAGGGACAGAATTTAAACAGGAGGAGGCAGACCTGGCTGCTGATTGGAGTGATTGAGCAGGAAGTGGAGGGAAAGTCTGATTAGTAAATGTAAAATAATCTAAATACAGTTCCAACAAACCGCTAGTTAAGGTTTAACTCATGCTTTGCCATTGGTTAGGTAACTAAGGGTCCTTCAATTTGTTTGTTTACAAAGTTTGGTTTGTTTGGGGAAGAGTGAATGCACAATTGAAGAAGCATGTCGCAATCAGCAAAAAATCTATTAATTGCACAGTAAATATAATTTCCACTTGCATAGGGCAGGCTTGTTTTTCACGAGTTTCTCTTTCTTTCTACCAAAGACTGGAGTATTCAGCACNACTTGANAATGTTNTCAAGCAACATTATTGTTTATTGCAACAACTTTTGGGACAATTTATTGTCCAGCAAACTCTTATCTTGACTGATCTAAAAAAAAAAAAAAAAAAAACTCACTCTGGTCTGTCTAAAAACACAGGTCTCAGTTCAGTTGGAGTAAACTCTGGTATGGTTCGAATGCATATGTGAATGCCAAGTGGACTACAAACTGCTCCAGAAGCAGCAAGCGGACTATAGCACAGGGCATTCTGGGTAAAGTCAACCAAAACAAAGAAGTGAGGTAGCAGTAGAATTGGCTTGTCTTTTGCCTACAACAAAGCAGAAATCCTACAACTGCTAACATGTGACGCCATTTTGGTTTACATTTCGCACTCAGTGTCTTCAGAACTTTTCATGTCATTTCCTTCAGTGGTTCTTGGTGAAGCACCACCACAAGCAACGGGGCATCAGGTTTTTCATTTGACACAGAGCAGCATGAAAGTGAACCACAGCAGAAAATGTAACAATTTAGGTCCCAAATCAAAGTGAGTTACCCTGGTAACTTAGGGTGGACAGCAAACACTCTAAGTGTTTCCCTAAGTGGGAAACGGGTTGCGTCCTCCAAGGCTAGAGAAGTGGGATTCAAACTGGATCTTCACTGCTGGATTTCACTGGTATGGTGGAGATGTGTTTCCTTACCAAAACCAGCTGCGTTGAGACCTTGTCACAGAGCTGCGTCCACTCATAGCTGCTCAGAAGCTGCTGGATGTCTCTGCTCTGCATCGCCCGCAGAACCAACACACACGCTTGACACTACATATGAAATGAGATCCATGAAACAAGAGTTATGTTTCTTGTAATCGAATTAGTTCAATTAATTCACTTTTATTTGATTTTTGCCAGTTTGAATACAAATAAGAATTTGTTCATGTTAAATGTTAATTATCAGTGTTTGGTTTTATTTATTATTTTGTGTTTGTGCAGGAAGGATTTTACCTGCTGATGTCCACGGACTCCTGATGTGATGTGCTGCACAGCCGTATCCAGGAGGTTCACACATAAAACCTGGACCAACCATCACAAAGTGTCATTTATGCTCTGAACGAGACACTATGAGTAAAGATGTTCGCTTGGACTCACAGGGAATCTGGTGAACAGGTCGGTGAACATCTGAGAGGTCAGAGGGCTCTTCCTCCGGCTCATGAAGGAGATCAGAGCCTCTCTGAAGAGGTTCGACACCCGATCCACATCCACGCTCCCCATAAACTTCAGCTGTGGTTAAACACGACATGAGAGAGGCGTGAGGGTTCAGACTTTCTGTCTGAAAAGTTGGCAGAAAGAGAAAGCTTTAAATTCAGACAAGTCAAGCTAGACTCCCATTTAGCTGCTTCTGAGTCCTGAAATCCTTCCTGCTGGCTCACTTCCCACTCATGACAGGATAAAATGACAGCCAGGGGGGAAAAAGCCCATCAGATGTGCTGCTCTGCTTCTCTGCTGTACACTAACCATCTTGTTCCTGTCTGTCAGAGCTGCTCTCACTGAAACTTCTTCACTTTCTCTTCGGTTTTTACCTGTAAATGAGTTTGTTTCACAATACAGCAGATTTCCTGATTCTACGGTGTGAGCAGCTGGTGAATGTCAATATATTTGAATTAGGGTTGAAATAATTAATCAGATTAATAGATTATTGAAATAATCATTTAGTAATTGATTAATCATAAACTGAATTATACAGATTCAAAAAAGGCCATTTGTTGAAAACTAACATGTTCAGAGCAGTTAAAATCCAAAACTGCTCCCAGAAACCGTTTCACTTTCTTTTCTGTTTAACCTATAAATGAGCTTTTTTTCTGTATGATTAATCATAATTAATCAATTATTGAAAAAATTTGTAAAATAATTTAGTAACTGATTAACCGCAAAGTGGCATATACACTCAAAATAATGACATTTGTTACAAAAACACCATATTCTTAGCAGCAATTTTGCCAAAGCTGTAAAGGAATAAACATACATTATGCTTTTGTTTGTAAATATGTTTTACCAAAATCTCCTCAAGAGGAATAATTTTAGCTTCACTTCAAATTCACTAAAGGAATGCTATATTATTGCATTTTAGGCCACAAACAGCTTATTTTATTATTTAAAAAAATTATTTAATTCTATATTTATTTTCATCCTTTGATCCATTTCTAATATTGTATAAAAAAGGTTTATGAGGTTAAATGAAAAATCTTCAGAAGCTGCCAATATTTTTATCCAATTCAGTGATTAATTGCCAGAATAATCAACTATTTAAATAATTGTCAGTTACAGATCTAATTTCACTATAATCAAAATTGAAGTCCTTGAATCTGAGACCTTATCTTACAAACAGAAAACCAAATTTGCTTTCATTTGAAGAGATGAACAACAACCCAGTCCTTTTTTTCTGCTACAAATACGGACGTCTGGTTCAGGAGTGGCTTAACACAAGAAATGCTGCATGCTGGATGTTTCTGTATGAAATGGCTCCAAATTCTTAAAAAAAGGTTTGGGACATAATATACTGTAAGTGACCCATGTCAGGGCTACAGACTTTGATGCAGCTGTCCTAGGTTCTGTTCCCAGCCCTGGTCCATTTACTACGCCCAGTCAAGTGAATAAAGATGACTAGTGCCTAAAAACCAGCCCTCCCAAAAAACATTTGTTTCATAATCCCTTTTTTGTTGCCTTGTGAAATTTGTCCTACAGGACAAATTAAATGGACTGAACTTATATAGTGCTTTTCCAATCATTTCACCACTCAAAGCTCTAGAGTCACATTCACAGATCAATAGGCAATTTGGGGTCAAGTCCCAGTGGCTGGAATTGAACCCACAACCTTCTGATCACAAGACAATTACTCAACTCATAGAGCCACAGTTATGTTCATGTTTGTATTGGTCAGAACACGGCCAAAACATTTCAAATTAAGTGATTTTTTTTGTCTATCAACCATGAAAATTATGGCTTGATGGTTGTTACCCTCACAATAAATTGTTGCTACAATTTATATTCATCTTAGTGTGATTAATCTAGATGCTGTTTCATTTTAGAAAATAGATAAAAATAATATTCTACTTAAACTTTAAATAATTCAGCAATTTAGACAAATCAATGTTTGATGGTAAAAATGTAAAAAAAATTACATATATATATATATATATATATACACACACACACACACACACACACACACACACACACATTAAATAGATTTTCTTTTACCACTTAAAAACATTTGTTTAAAACCTGGGGAAGTAAAAGCTGTCATCTCTGGCTTATAATAAACTAATTAACTGAAAACACTGGAGACATTTTTTCTTTTAATGCCAAAAATGTCAGGATTCCCTTTCATTAGATTCTTTTCAATACATTTTTTTGAAGGCATCTGACAGCAGCTTCATCCTTCAGCTGTAAAGTCACTGTGAAAATGTGACAGGCAGAAACTGTTTCTGTTGTCAATGATGCAGTTTATATTGGGCTGAGGACAATAATTAGCAAACATGTTATGTACAGCATTCTCCATGATGTTTGCCTTCTTTCTCAATTAAAACGTGTGAAATCTTCAAAAATATATATATTTTTGGTTACATTTGCATAATTAGAATAAAAATATTTAGAATTATATTATTTAGAAAGAGTACATGTAAAGAAATAATTTATTGCTACACAATCACTGGCAGAACATTTATCAGCAATTGTGAGTGATTGATCAGTTATAGCAAAGGATGCACATGTAACATCAATAAGGATTTTTGTCTAGTTTCTAGTGCACATATGTTAGGACACTTAAAATAAGACAAATCTAACTTACAAATAACTGTTCAGCAAGACATAAGAGATCAGTAAAAAAAGCTTATATGTGGTTTGTTCTTAACCTTTTTTGGGCCACTGCTCCCCGTCACCCAGGTCTGTTACTGCCCCATCAAATAAGATGTAGGCTACCTCCACTGAATGTTATTTTATTATTATCATTATTGCTGCTGTTATGATGCTTATTTAATGTTTCTGTATTTATCATAAAAAAATCATTACAGAAAAACAACTAAATTATTAGTTTCCCAGAGAAGGGTAAAACGAATGCTCTCTACCGTAGTGTCACCGATGGAAGGATTTTGGACATTAAAACATTTTTCAATATAAGTTGTTGCTATGATATGACCACACTGACAAAGTATAAAATCTACATACCATAAAATTTTGGGGTTTTACTTTAGAATGACCAACTTTCTGTTATTCCTAAGTCAATTTGATACAGTCGGGGCTTCTGCACTTATCTGTGTCCTCTGTCACTGTTTTCAGCAATTAAAACGGTATAAGCCATTGTTAACACGTTGTAACCTGTTTTTCCAAGCTGCCTTTAAACACAACATGAGCGCTACGATGCTCGCGCTGGGTTTACACCTGTGTGGCAGCGACAGAGACCTGCTGCAGCTGCTGCACTCAGGGGTGTGTTAGAATCATGGCAGCAAACCAGCAAAAACGCAAAGAACTTTTCACAATTTTTCCTCTAAACTATCTGACTGAATTGAGTAAAGCTGTTGGATGCAGCAGTGACGTGCGGTGAGATTCGTAGCTGGTGAGGCATTGACTTAATCATAATCAGATTTACAAATCTAGACCCCATGCAAGTTATTGTTTACATAAGAAAATTTTGCGCATGCAGACAATGCTGGAGGGCAAAAA